CGAATATTCATATTGGACCTGATTGTTTATAGTTCATAATGCGTGATCAAAACCGAAAGTTTCTGTGATGAATGCCCTTGTACTGTTCACCATGTAACTTATTCACTATGTAAGAATTTGTTCTCCATGTAAGAACTTGTTCGTTATGCTTCAGAAGATTGGAGACTGACGAGAATTAGGCTTGAGATGGATTAATGATTGTACATTGAGCATTGACCCCCCTATATAGAATTTTATTGTTGTTAACAACCATTTGATCAATAAATATGAGAGATGCCCTCTCAAAAAAAACCAAAAAAAACCCAACTTTGAGATGCTATGAATATCCTATTCCCCTCAAACCAAGGGTTGTAACATTCATTGATGATCCCTGTCTAAATCAATTATTTCATCAGTGGTTGCGAGGTGGTAGTTTTCTAAGTCCATCTGTCATTTTTTCCCTAAATTTATTAGTTGACATGTAAGAAAGATATATTCTCCCCCCTCCCACCCTGCTGTTCGTTTTTTTGCAACTGTGGGGACAAACGTAGACTGCTAGTAACCTTTTGTCCCAGAATAACCATGTGTCCACAGGACCCCCTCCTTCAGGTCGTCTGCTAGCTGTACAGTATGCTGATGCTCTTAGGCTGTTGACGGCTAGGCCCGCCGTCAACATTTTTTTTTTAATGGAGGCAGACCCCTCTGACCAAGGTTTTGTTCCTTGGGACACTGGTCACATAAGAATGATCTCTTCTAGCAGAGCAATAGTCTTCGTCCCCTGGCTCCTGGCACATTCTAGTCTCTATCTTCTCACCCTGTATAATCAGTTCCTTCTCAGTCCACAATAGCGATAGCAGTAGGCAACCTCAGCCAGCTCGAGCTCCTGGACTCCCTCTGTATGTAAGTCTCAATAAACCCTCATGTCTATCATAACGCACCCACTTGGGTGTGCGATCAGACTTGTGATCACACAATAACACAACAGACTCACATTATTTTTATTTAATATATTATACTTCGTTATTGTCATTATTCATTCAGATTCTTAAATTGTCCCAAATTTGGAGATGTATTTATTTTTCAAGGGAACCAAAATACATTCCTGTACTTAGATTCTCATGTTTAGATCAGTGTTTTCAAAATTGGGTTAAGGTACCAACTGCATCAGAATTCTCTGTGGTCTCATGCTACACATACGGATTCCTGGCTCTCATATCAGGCTACCGAGTCAGAAGCTTGGTGGTGTTGTGTGAGACTTCAGAATGGAGATTTTTTTCTCTCTTTGTCATGGAGATTTCCAAACATATTTAAAAAAAAAACAGTGACAATAATTCAATGACTCTTTGTGTGCCCATTTCAGCTTTAATAATTATTAACTTTTTGTCAATTCTCTTCCATCTATCTCTTTATCCCTATCACACACATGCTTATTTTCTTGGAATACTTGTAGCAAACTAGAGATCTAAAGTCACATTACCTATAAATAAATCAGTAGGCATCTCTAATGGACAAGGACTATAAAAATATGTAGCAAACATCCCTTTATCATCACTTGCAAAATTAACAATAATTAAAAAAAATTCCGTCCATATTCAGATTTCTCTGTCTCAAAAATGTCTGTTTTACAGTTGATTCCTAAACACGTCTATATATTGCATTTTGTTATTAAGTCTCTTAAGTTTTTTAAATTGTCACATGCCCCTTGCCCTGTTTTGCCTTTTTGTCCTTGCAACCCTTACTTTTTTTTGGTTGGTGCTGAAAATAACAAATAATTTGTCCTGGAGTATGTCCCACTTTCTAGTTTGGGTTGATGACTTCTTTATAATATCAGTTATCTTGTTTCTCCATCCCCTGCGTTTCCTGTAAACTGTTGTTAGATCTAGTGGCTTGATTAGATTGAGGTTCTTCATTTATCTGTCCGGCAAGTGTATTTCTGAGGTGATCCTCTGAACCCCTATTGTATCCCATTATAAGACACATCAAGTGTCTGGGTGTCCCATGTCTAAACACCTGGGGTCAGGCGGTGTCAGTGTATTCTTCCTTTTTAAAGGCTCCCTATGACCTTTGACCTAATAGCTTGAGCATCCATTGGTGACTGCTGCCTCCATGGAATCGGCAGTTTTTAATCAAACTCCTCAGGTATTCCCTAGCACACTAAAAATTACAAATCATTGGTTTAAATAAAATGTTTTCCTAACTCTTTCTCAGTTGCTGGACCTCCAGAAAAATGGGCAGTGTAATGGGTGAGAGCTCAATGTTCTGGATTCTAGTCCTTGCTCTACCACTAAATAGCTGTGTAACCTTGGGCAGGTTTATTGCCCTATCTGGGTGTTATTTTCCTCCATCTGAATAGGTGTGGATATGATGATCTCTAAGGACCCTTCCTGCCTGAAAGTTTTATTCAGGGTGTCACCAGACACTGATAAACCACAGTGAGAAAGGATGGGCCATTGGGAGTCATCCATTATTACTGCCCATTACCTCACCTGTCTGATAATCAGAGTGACTCCTGATCAGGAGATCAATGACCTACTGAGAATCGCAAGAGAGGAGCTGCAGAAGGAACCTTGGCAGCCACAGTATTGACTCACATCGCCTGATGTGAAAGGCTCTGCTGGGAAAGGCTGAAATGTTAGGTTTTTGTTGAATCTCTGACCCACCAATATCTATGTCTATGTCCTTGAACATGTTATTTTATCTTTATGATGAGCCTCAGTCAACTCCGATTTCCAGGACAATAAAGACCCACCCTGCCTACCTCCCAAAGTTGGTGAGTTGATCAGAGGAGCTAAGACAGAGAAAAGCATTTTGTACATTGTAAACTTTATGTCAAGCAAGGAAACAACCTAAATGTTCACCATTAGGGGAAGGATGAAATAAAAGTGTGGTATACATCCACACTGGGAAACATTGTGAGCTTTAGAAAATGATGAGGTTGATTTTTCTGTCACAGTATGAAAAGAAATTAGAGACATTGTTAGATGAAAGAGGAAATTCCCAAAAAGTATTCTAATTAATGTACAAGGAAATACAAAACAAAAAATATTGCCATTCATACACACATATTCATGTACATGCAGAGAAAAAGTCTAGAGGAATACTTACTAACTAGGTATCAGGGATTACTTCTTGGATGAAGAGGGGGATGGAGTTATCAGAGGAGATTATCTTATTTAATAGTTTGCAGTAAGAACATATTCATTTAAAACTTGTGTCAGGAGAAATAAAGGAAGAACAGGTGAGGATTATTAGTTATTGCTCTTACTGTTACTACCACTACCACCAGGCCATCTATGTCTATTACCTTCCCCACACTGCGTGGGTCCTCAGCCAGGCATTCGGGCAGACTTCCAGGCTGTATGTCATGGCTTCTCCATAGTTCACAAAAGTCCTTTGCAGTCTAGGGAAAGGACAAGCAATGTGTCATATAAAACATTTTTGTTAAAGGCATTATTTACTCCTGATGAAAGGGAGTAATTGTGTATTAACACAGAGAATTCTGGTAATTTTCTAGCAATGGTATTAGGACATATTTTATAGTAGTATACTTTTAAAACTTCCAGGAGTCTGGCTTTTTTTTTTTTGTAGTTGTCTTTTTAAACACCAGTGTTTAAGTGGATTTAAAAAATTAAGCAGTAGTCATTAATTGACTTAGGTCTGCAAAGCAGGAAAGAGGTGAGTTGAAAGGTGAGAAGTGTGTATCTCTGGTTGGGGGCAGGGAGGGAGGGAAGGGGGTGGTTGGGTGCAGTCAAGCCAGTGTCTGTCCTTTCTGGACTTACATCCTCTCCTTCCTACTGCTGAGGGTGTTGGAACAATTGAAATGCCTGCCTGGGACCAGATCTCTTGCACGGATGATACCAGCACTCTTGTATGATGGGACTCCCAAATTCCAGCGTATCCTGTCTTTCTTCCCCAGATGGCCTTTTCTAAGGGTGGAAAGGCCCTGCTGAGGATCTGGTCATGAGCAAGTGGGAGTGGCAGGTTGGTGAGGGCCCAGATCGGGGTGTTACCCTGGTGTTAACTGTGCGAAGGAGGGGATTCGCTGGGAGAGGGAAAGACCCCAGACTTGTCAGGAAACTGGGGTGTAAAGCCCAGCATGCTGCCTCAGACAGCTGGGAGACCTTGAATAAGTCTCTTTAGGCTTCTGGGCCTCAGTTTTATTCACATGCAGTCTGAGTTTTGGGGAGGACAGTGAGAGATGTGTGTGGAGACCTGCTGGGAACACAGTATAATCCTTCCATTTAATTTATTATTCATTGTGCTTGGCATCTGAAATACACATGAGGTCACACTGCATAGGACTGGCATATATATTAGCCTGAGGTTACACATTCAAAAGCTATGGGGACCGGACAGGTATAGGACACTGGTGACGGGAGACTAGGGAGTAGTGGGGACAGTGATGAAGCCTCAGCATGCGTCCCACTCTAAAAGGGGTTTGAGTGGGATTCAGCCCAGCCGAAGGAGATGAAGGAATGAAGCCCCAGGGTGCCAGACTGTCTAACTGGCAAGGAGAAGATGAAAAATTTTTTTTACAGTGAAGAAAGGTTTTTAAACATGGACTGAAACAAAACAAAAACTGTGGAAATTCCCCAAGACATATCCTGAGGCTGTAGGTCCAGCAGGCTTGAGGGAAGAAAAGATTTGCAAAGCGATTGAAAAATGAAGTCATCTGACAGGTCTTCAAATACCGGCTCTGCCACTTCTCAGCTGTGTGACCCTGAGCAAGGCATTTAATTCTTCTTAGTCTCAGTTTACTCATCTGTAGAATGGGAATAATAATAGTGCCTACCATACTGTAAGGAGTAAGGAAAGAGGCTTGTAAAGCTATTGCCATGTACCTGGCACAGTGTAATTGTGCAATAAATTTAATTGCTAAATGACTAAATGCTCTTAAAAGTGTTTTGTGAGCTGGAAAGTGCTCCACAAGTTAGGTGTGACTGATATATACTCCAGATATACCTCTTTGGGCTTAGTAATTTGGCTTTATGAGTAGTTTCATTTAATATCTCTCTATTGACTTATGAGGGCTTTCTCACATCTCTGAGGACCCATTTGGATCTGCATGCCTTGGGAGCGGCCGAGTACTACGAGTAGAGAGCGTCCTGGCAGCTGGTGTAAGGAATTACTAATCACCCATGAATTGCTAGAGTATAAATAGGAAACTCTCAGCATTGTTTGTTTCCATTGCATTTGCCTTTTCTGTCTGGAGTTTTTTTTGCATTGAGGTTTTAAATATACAAACACTGAGCATCATATGTATGCTTTATTAATGATCAACATCATTGTGAACTTTTGTTTCATTGCTTTGTTTTTTTACTTTTACCAGATTGTCCCAAAACGGGTTTACCTGGAACAAAGTATCCTTACAGTGTGTGTGCATTGGAGTTTGAAGACTGGAGGCAGGGAGATAAGAGAAAAAGAAGGACACCCCCCAGTAGCTTGCATATACATGGTAGTTTTTACAGTATGTTTGCATCTTTTCTCACTTCTGATCTTTCCAGGTACAGATATTTAGGGTTAGAGGATGCAGGAACTTGACAAAGTTGTTCAGCTAGTTAGCAGCACAGTTGGGCCTAGACCTAGTAGTTTCCAGTTAGGATTCTTTGTCACCCCATCTTCTGCCTCTATAGAATCTAGAGCATCAGGGACCATGGCTGGGAGAAGCAGCCAGTTAATTGAGTCCATGGTCAAGGAAAACTCAGCACACCCTCAGGTAGGGCCAGGCACTGGGTTGACAGAGAAGTGGGACTCTCACCTCCGGCTTAGATGATAAGCACAGTTCAACAGGATGACCATGCAGTGCACGGTGAGGACCCTGATGGCCAGCAGGCTGATAGGACCGACCTGGAAGGGAAGGGAACATGAGGATGGTGAGCCACAGACTGATGGCTCCTGTGTGTGGCTCTCTACAGCCTTGGGTGCTGGGCCCCTCTCAGAACGCAGCTGCCTCTGGGGTGAGAGCCCCTGCCTGATGCCCTTGTGCCCCAGTTGCTCTGGCTTGAATGCCCTTCCTAGCATTGCTGCAAAGTGACTGCCCAGCCTCTGCTAGGCTATGTCCAGTGACACAGAGCTCAGTACCTCCCCAGGCAGCACATGCTTCCTCATCTGCCTTGAGTTTTGCCTTCTAGATCCTTTACTCCTTTTTCACACCCCAGTCCTCACCTCCTCCAAGATGCTTTAGGACCTACGTTCCTCTTAGGGCTTGGTTCTCCTCCTCCAGCATGGGGCTGTCAACAGGGACACTCCGGACACTTTGGGCCAGGTGGCTTGTTGCTGAGGGGGCTCTCCTGTGCCTGTGGGGTGCTTAGCAGAGCCCTGGGCCACCACCAGGGATGGCGGTACTCCCCATTGCACCTGGTTGTGACGACTAAGAATGTCTCTAGACATATATGTCTGTGGAGGGATGTGAAAAGTTGTCCCTAGTTGAGAATAACTGCTCTATCTAGTATGTCTGATTTGTCAATTTGAGTGGACAAATTTGAATTTTCAAAGAAAAACTAAGTATTTAAGGTGTACAACATAATGATTTGATACACATACACATAGTTAAGCGATTACTATAGCCAGTTGGCTCTATTCTGCAGGCTGTACTTCTATTCCTGTGATCGACTTATATTATGATTGGGAATCTTTGTGCCCCTTTATCCCCTCCCACTCCCCATAGGGCCCATTATTAATCATAATCTCCTAGATGTGATCAGAAGGGCATAGAGAGGGACCCCCTCACCTCCTTTGTGCTAGACACTTGCACCTTCACAAATGTGACCTGAGATGACATTATCTATCACAAAGAAACAAACACCTTCACAAATGTGACCTGAGATGACATTATCACAAAGAAACAAATGAGAGATCAAGAGTACCACTAGTTCCACTAGAATGTAGGCTCCATAGAGAAGAGGCTTTTTTGGTGTTGTTTACTTCCACATTCCCAAGAGCTGAGAATGCACATAGTAGGTGCTCAGTATATATTTCCCATGGTCAGAGGGTCTGGTGGGAGATGGAGGATAAATTACCTACTGACTTTTAGAAAGGAAAAATAAGAGGATAAAAGAGCTATGTTAAACAGCAAACATCGTACTGGCAAATATAGTTTGGCTGAGGGCCATTTGTACTAATACTCTTCAGAAGTTCTGGAACACTGAGGATTCTAAAGGGGAGAGAGTCCCGTCTCTGGGTTGGAACTGCTACAGGTTGGGAATCATGTCAGAGGAAGCCAGGGTCTCTACAGGGCTTCCTTAGATGTGGGGGCCACTTGCCAGGCCTGAGGAGAGGGGAAAATCAACATCAACCAAATGGAAATCATGTTTGACATCTATTCAGTTCAACAGACATGAACTGGGGTTCCGCTGTGCCAGACTCTACAGCAAGCATTGTGGGAGGTATAAAGATGAACCAGAGAGTTCCTGCCCTTGAGCTCTGAGGTAAGTGAGGAACATAAATATATATATTTTATTAAGGTATCATTGATATACACTTTTATGAAGATTTCACAAGAAAATCAATGTAGTTACTACATTCACCCATATTATCAAGTCCCCCCACCAACTCCCATTGTAGTCACTATCCATCAGTGTAGTAAGATGCCGCAGAGTCCCTATTTGTCTTCTCTGAGCTACACTGTCTTTCCCGTGACCCCACACACACCATGTGCACCAATCATGATACCCCACAGTCCCCTTCTCCCTCCCTCCCCACCTGCCCTCTCCCACCCCTCCACTTTGGTAACCTTCTTGGAGTCTGTGAGTCTGCTGTTATTTAGGAATGTAAGTATATTTTTAAAAATCAGTATCTCTTATCTTTGTAAGTGCTGTAAGAATTTCAGGTGACATAGTTCTAGAAAAACACAAAGTGAAGACATTAATTTTAATATGAAACAGCAAAGTTTTACAGAGGAGGTAGATTTCAAAGGACAGAAACAAGGGATAGGGGAGCAGCATAAGCAAAGAGACAGAGGTGGGATGGTGCAGGGAGTGTCAGGGGACTGGTGAGGTCCTCACTATCCTCACCTCCCAGGCCTCTTTCTCATAGTTGATCAAATGGTTTGAAGCAGGAGCCACACACTCAGATGCCTTCAAGAGCCAGGCTGTTAAGTAAATGAATGAAATGGGCAGGCTGTAATCCTAGGAATGGGCAGGACTGTGGCAAAGTAGACTAATGTATCAGTATGTGAGTAGGTGGGTTTTTAAGAATAATGGGGCTCTCCAACCATAATAAGGGATGAAGATGGTCAGAAGGCACAACTTCCAGTTAGGAGAGAAGCAGGTACTGGGGATGTCATAGCCTGATGACTATAGCTAACACCTGCTGTGTGGTATATTTGAAAATTGCAAAGAGTAGATACTGAAAGTTCTCATTACAAGGAAAACAATTTTTTTTATTAACTATATGGTAAGATGGATGTTAACTAAACTTCTTGTGGTAATTATTTTGCAGTGTATGTATGTCAAGTCACTAAGCAGCACACCTTAAATGTACACAGGACTATATGTCATTTATATCTTAATAAAAGTGGGGAGAAAAATAACGGCCTGTCCCCTCCAGGCACATTCCATTTGGCTCCAGGTTGTCTCCAGTGGATTAATGCCAACAGGCACATTTCCTATTGCACAGGGTACCCCCAAACTGCCACTGATAAACAGTGTAAAGGCCTTAGGGATGCACCAGTCCTTACCCCTAGGCAAACTAGGTAAACCCAGTTCCCATTGCACAGGTCCTCCTACCAACAAGCCGGCATTCATCATGGCCAGGGGAAGCCCCAGGAGCCCTGTGCTGATGTTTCATTTCAATAAATGGATCAAGGTTTACATCACCCTGCAGGGAGAGAGACAAGAGGGTGTGTTAGTGGCTGGGAAAGGGGCCCCGAAGCTCAGGCTCCTTCTGGCATCTCCAGCACCCACTGTTGGGAAGATGGACAGAACCAGATGAAGTGGCCTGTGGTCTAACTCTCAGTTCCCAGGACCTATCCTAGAACATCTACCCAGGGCTTGTGCTTCCTCAAGTAACACAACAAATATTTCATACCACTCGCTTTAAAGAAGAAACTAGTAACAATAGCTACTGCCTCCTAAACTAATTCCCTAGTACCAATTTATTCATTAATTCATCCAGTGATTTCTGTCATGAATTATTGACTAAAACAATATTTATTGAGGCTTACTAGATGCTTGACATTTAGACAGACAATAAATAAATTGATTTTCTCAATTTACAGAGTAATTATTGGTGCCAGCTTATTTATTAATTCACTCACTAGAAAAAGCCATCTTACATGTGGAGTATTTACTGGTTCCAGCTCACTCCTTCATCCATTTACTCAACCAATATTCATGGTGAATTTATTCTATGTTGTGCATTGGATACAACTTAATAACAATTGCTACAATTTAATTAACAATGATATACTACTGTCAAAATAATTAACAATTATAACAGTTGTATACAGAGTGCTTCCTGTGTGCCTGGCCCGGTGCTCGGTAGCCAGGTTCTAAATGTTCTCCACATCTGTGCTGGCAGCTCCTGACCAGGCACTGCCAATCCCCTGGGGGTGGGAACAGGATTATGAGAAGGTAAAAAGGAACTGAAATAAAGAGCTCAGTGCTGAGCTCAGAGGTAAGGAGCACTGAATTCTGAGTTCTAGCTCTGCCATTAAACTACCGTGTTTGGTCATTACGAGAGAGAAAGAGAATAATTTTGTCCTGCCTACCTCCCAGGGGTGTGATAAGGATAGAAGAGGGGATGACATGATGAACTTGGAATCATGAAGTGCTTCACACATGTGAGGCATCATCACCGTCATTACATCCTCCTCCTCATTGCCACCACCTGTGATGCTCACCTGTCAGAAAGGGCCTTCTTTAAGAGGTGGCAGAGTTGATAGAAAAAAGGCAAGCAAGGGCAGCATCAAGTACATAGGGGTGCCCCCTCCTCCTAAAACAAAAGGTACCTTGGGGAGGCCATGGAGGGGTCTCCTTATGCAGTCTTGAACTGTCTGGAGGCAGGCGGGATATAAATTGTCCAAGGTCACATAGCAAGTCCCGAAAGGACAGCACTCCTGTCTCCGGGTCTTTGTCTTGTTGGTTAGGGTGTCAGGCTTTTACATTTCAGTACAACCTGGAAGAGGGCTCGGGCTGAGAGAACAGAGTGGGCCCTTGGGAACTCTGTGACCTGCATCTCTGTGAGTTCAGTCTATTCGCATAAGGATGGAGGAAACTGTTGTCCCTTCACTTTCAAGAGGTAACTTATTTCTTGATAACTGCAATTACTGGGAAATATGTGAAGGCAAAAAAAATCAATTAAAAAATATTTTGTCAATCCTTTGATAATAATTTCTCCAAAAGATGTGCTCTTTCTCCCTGTTCTTGTCCCCTCCTTACATCTCTGACTTCTGTCCGATAGCAGTGGCTTGCCCCAGTTGTATCAGATCCCTTGGGAAAGGTAAGAAAGTTCTAGAGAACCCACTGTGCCCTAGCTAACAGCATCATAGGTCAGGGCCTTAGATAGTAAAATGCACTTTTGGAGCACTCCTGCAGACCATTTAAAAAAAAATAGCTTTAGAATTTTTTCTTGAAAAATGACACATGGCCATTATAAAAGGAAATACCAAAATTCCACCAATTGGAAATAACCAGCATTAACATTTTGATTAACATTCCTCTGGGCATCCTTATTTGTTTTTAAATACACAGAATTTCACATAAGGAGTATTGTTATGATACTGTATCCTAAACTAATTTTCTTTATGAATAGTATGTCCTACACAGTTTTCCACAGCCACAGATTTCCTTCAGCACTTTTAATGGCTGTATTATATTCTATGGTCTGTACCATAACTTAAATAATCTCATGGTTTCCAAATTGTCAATATTATAACTTGTGCTTCAATAAAATGATCATGCATACCTGTGCTATCTCATCAAGAAAAATTCCTATAGGTAGAATGATTGATCAAAGGATATATTAATTTTATTTAATTATTCTTAAAAAGGAAACTTAAATAACACAGTATAAAATTTAAAGGTAAAACAGAAACAATAACCAAAAAACTGTATGTAGTAAATACAAATCTCTTTTCTACCTTTGCCTCTCAGTCTCCCAGTTCTCTAATCCAGAAGCAGCCACTACTGCCTGTTGTGTGGGTGTCTATACTTTCAAAGAAACCATATGCTAAATATATATTTGTATGACATATATAAATGTTTTAAGATTTGACATACATTACAACATTGCTAACAGGAATGGTACTGGTTTAATTCTTCCCAAAAGCAATGAGAGAGGGCATTTCCTGACATTCTTACCAACACCAGGTATTTACAATCTCATTATGCCCATGGCTGTTATCTGATCTGATTACTAGATAATTGATTAGTAATAAAGTCCTAAGAAATGGTTTTACATATCTGAGTTTATGGCACTAAAAGTAAGGGCTAGGAGGTAACCTTTTGTTTCCTGGATGTGTTTGTAGGAGAGAGAGAGAGTATGGATAATAGCAGAAGTAGGAGAGAAGAAAGTAGCCTGAAACCAGGAAGGAACTATGCCAGCCTAAGAAAATATTCCGGGAATCAGGCAGCTTACATCAGGGATGGCTACTCTACCTGGATTCTTTGCAAAAACTGGGGAACAAGTGCCATTGCCAGAGCCACGGGGATTAGCATTCTTAGATTCTGAAGGTTCCATCTTTCATCCATGCATCTCCAGCTCAGTGGGCATAAAGATGTCAAGAAGAGGAAAGGAGGAAGATGTGTCCCAGAGCCTGTGAAGGCAGCTGAGCTCAACCTGAGATCTGGCAGGGCCATGCCGCCACTCACGATAATCTGCTGGCTTCCTCAGGATGGACATTCTCTGACGTGGTGTTACCGCTACTCTCCAAGAGTGACTGGGTCCTGTCGTCCAAGGAGCTGGGCTCACTGTTGTCCCTTCCAAGCAATGACATCTTCACCATGGTGGGGAGGTGGTGGCAGCTCAGGGTTAAAGCCTGTAATAGCCTGTAACCAGCCACCCATGGCTTCTTCTCCAGAGAAACCAGGGCTGCCGGCCAAGAGATGCTGGCTCCTGATTCCTAAGGGTGCCTGACCCAGACTGAAGCCTAAGAGTGTGACTCAGTGAAGCACTGGTGGCAGGGGAAGCTAGTGTTGATTAAGCCTCACCTGGGGGACTTATATGAGATCCTCATCTCAGGATGACCCTCAGTGCCCTTGAGAATAGTTGGCCACACATCAGGACTCAGCTGGGCTTTCACCCTCCCAGCTTAACCCTGCTAAAAGACAAAGTGAACAGTGTGACTGGGAGGAAGAAAGCACCACTGGACTGGAGGTCCTGGTGCCTGAATGTGGGGCCAGGCTCAGTGTTCATCTATTTCTCGCAAACAGGAAACCAGAGCTACCTCATCATGGAGGCTGCCCAGCCGATAAGGCACTGCAGAATCCTCGGATGCAGGTGTGGCCCAACAGAGGGCAGTCCAGCTACCACCTTCCCTGGGTGGGGCCTGAAGAGTGGCTTTCTCTTAAGGCCCAGTTCAAATGCTGCCTGCTCAGAATTTCTGTACAGGTGGGATATAGGGACTGCCACCTATTTGGAAAGGACGGCAAAATAACTTTAAAAAAATCATTTATTCATAAACAATATGTATTGAGCATCTATATTGTTCTCCATGCAGGAAATACATTAGGGTAGAAAACGTACTATAGTCTCTACCCTCATGGAACTTACAATCTAGTGAAGAGCCAGACAATCAGCAAAGCAAATATGTTAGTTGGTAGCAAGTACTATAGAGAAAAATCATGTGGGAAAGGGGGATGGAGACTGGTAGCTTGGGGGAGAGTTGTAATTTTAGATCAGGTGGTCTGGAAGGGCCTCAGTGAGAAAGTGCCATTTGGGTAAAAGGCTGACCTAGGTGAGGGAACATGCCCTGGGTATATCTTGGGTAAGAAACTTAGAGCAGAGGGAACAATAAGTATGAAGGTCCTGAGGCAGGAGAAGGCCTGGGGTATTCTAGGAATGGTAATAAGGCCACCTGGCTCACTCAGTGTACACAGAGAACAAGGAAGATGAGTAGAGTGGATAATGTCTGTTTGTCCAGAACTGTGCTGGTTTGTGCTTATTGCCCTGGCATAATTAATAATGCCTTTTTTCACTAAAGTATCCTGGTTTGCATGATAAATTGCCTGGTCATTTTTTGATGATAATTAGTATGTAGGAAAGATGATGGTTGAAAATAAGCAGAAAAGGGCTTTTGCAAATGTTCTCTTAAGACTGAGGCTGAAACAAGCATGGGTCATTCCATAAACCACAGAGTATGATGAGAAAGTCCCTCCTCTGGGACTACAGATCTGCCTATAATAACTGCCTACTTGGCTATCTAGGACACTTTCCCCAATTTTTGTATCTTAGTGGGGAGGGAGGGAGCAAATACTACCTGGAAAGCTGAGGTGGTGTCTCAGGTTGACTGGCCTCTGGCTGCCAGCCAAGGTCAGAAACTAGAAAAGGCACTGGAATGTCAAGGCAGCAGGACTGAGTGGAACAAGGGCCAGATTTTAGTGTTGGGAGACCCAAGTTTTACTCAAAGTCCAGCTCAATGGCACCACCTATGGAAAGTCATCCTCAGTGTCCAGAACAGTTAGTACCCCCCTTGCTCTTACAAAGACCTATCATGGTGATGACTTCATTGATTACCTGTACTTCTTCCCCAAGGACAGCAAACTAGCTCCTTGAGGGCAAGAATTCTTTTCTCACTCTCTGCTGTATCTCCTTTAGAGAGATGTATCCCTTAGCTTTTGCTGCATAAAAACTCTCACACCTTATGGTTTAAAACTACAAACATTTATTTCTCACAATTCTGTGGATCATCTGGGCAATTCTTATGGTCTGGGTCAGCTTGACTGGGAATAGATATAGTCTAGGAAGGCTTAACTCACGTGTCTGGAAGTCAGCAGGCTAGTTGATCTGGGGGACGGGGCTCAAGTGGAATGATTTCTTTCTGCTCCACATGGTCTCTCATCCTCCAGTAGGCTAGCTCAGGCTTCTCTACCTGGTGCTCTCAGCTCCATAGCGTAGCAAGAGATGAAAGTCCCGTGGCACAAGCCGTCACCAAACCTCTGCTTGCATCACATTTACTAATGTCCCACCGGCCAAGGCCAGATTCAAGGGGAAAGATAATAGATTTCACCTCTTAATGGGAGGAGCTGCAAAGTCACATTGTAAAGAGGAATTTGTGGCCATTTTTGCATTCCACTACAAAGAGCCTTGATTTATACTTGGCATACCTACCGGTAGTCAAGAATGCTTTTTGCAAGAATTCAGAGGTAAATAATGCCAAATGATGTTACAGTACACTACCCGCCAGCCTGCATTACTGCATCTATTCCATGCCCTCTACCCATTATTGGGATCTTTGAACAGGGCCAAAACTTTATCCAGTAGTTTAGAAAGTTTATTGCCCTTGACTTAAATATGATGGTTCTTTTCTGAGAGTTACAGCTCACATTGGACCTCTTGGTCCTATCCTTCTTGACACTGGAGTTATGCACACTTTTCTGGATTGCAGATTATGTCCATACTCCTAGTCTTTCCTCTTTGAACATATCAGGAAAAAGGGAAACCCTTTGCCTTTTGGAGTAAGAGTCAGCTTTAGGTTGTCCCTCTTTCTGCTAGAGGCTGAGACTTGGGTGCCCCCTGGTGGCTTCTTCTTGCATAGCCCTACTCAAGGTGTGAAATTCGTCATGTGAATTGCCAAAAAGTTGAAAGAATCAAGAGTCCTTCAGGGAAAGTGCTCAACACAGTGGAAAGCTAGAGGTGGAAAGAAAAGGTATAAAAATAAATTTTTAAGAAATTACCATGTAGACCTTGTAGATGAGTCCTTGCTTGTTTCACAGTGACTTGGCCCAGACAAAAGGTTAAACAGCAAAATAAAGATAATGCATATAAAAGAGATCCATATCATTACAAGTCAGGTGCTGGTGGGTAAGGAGCAGGACCATTCTCACTGAATAAAAACGGTAGAGTTGGAAAAGGTGTGAGGGTCTTTTGACTGGATCAGATTTTCCAGGGCCTCATACGTCCCCACCACAAAGCCCACGAAGCCCAGGATGCTGATCAGGGCGTCCTTGGCGATGGTGAGGGGGCTCATGCCCTCCGAGTAGTAGGTGGTGATCTCCAGGAGGGGCGGGATGATGAGGGCGAGGGCACTGCCGCTCACGGAGCCCACCAGGGAGATGACCAGGTCCAGGCGGGGGATGAGGATGGCCAAGATGCCTGTGGGAGATGATACACGATAGATGGATCTTCCCAGACCTCGTTAAGCTTTTAAAGTCTGTTTTTAAAATCCTTAAAACATAAACCAGTTGTTTCTCATATATTTAGTTACATAAACAAAAAGTTGAAAGTCCTGGAATATCCCAAATTACATTCACTAGAGGTTACAGATTAAAAATTTGGTGTGTCTCTTTCCATTTGGAGGAAAATTTTTCTCTGTACCCACTTAGGTTTAGTGACCAGGGGTCTGTGAATTTAACTGACAATAGACAGATTAGCAGGGGAAAAGACAAAGTTTATTTAGGGCTAGGGAGCCTTCAGACAGACTGGTTCCCTTGGAACGAAAGATAGGGGTTCATATGCCCATTTCATAAGGGGAAAGAGGGGGACAGAAAGAGCTTCTACACAAGAATAATTGGAAGGCATTACAGTTTCAGATAGCCTAAGTAATCACTCAGTCTGTGATAATGGTTAATCCCCTTTCTGGCTGAAAACCTACCAGAGAGTGGACTTATGGCCATTTTTCAGATGGTCCTGTTTAATTCAGCAAAGGAAGTTCAGAATAGGTTTTCTTTTCCCCTGTGGCTGCTGTTTATTCAAATATTTTTAGCTTGAGAATCTTTATGTCACTGAATTCCATTTTGGATATCGACATATTCAACACTGATTAAGATCTTACTTCATAAATAACACTAAATAACAGTGCTGGGAACTCTCCCAACTGTTTGGGGAAAATCAATGTATTAAACAGACAAGAATTTAAAAAACAACCCTGCCTTCACAGAGCTCACATTTAATAATTAATATGACTATTAGCACCTCTTACAATTAGAATGTGAAAGTATTTATAGAGGAAAGGGGTCTTCATTTGGAACAAGACCTCAGGGTCTTGTTAAAGTGTCTTCACCAGGTTTTACATACATGGCAGAAAACATCTAATGAAAAAACAGTAAAGCTACAGATTTTGAAATTACATATTTTTTCTTAGGCTATTCTACAGGCCTGAGCTTTTATGTTTTTTACTTTTCTTGATAGAAAATTTCAGCCAAGAAAGCCCAGAAGCCTCCCCAGGCCTCCCGTGGAGGAGGAGTGTAGTGTAATAAGAGAATGAAGACGGATCTGGAAAGCAGGCCACTAGCTTCTCCTGTGTGGCTTTTGTTGGTCTCTACCTTTCACTCAGCTTGTTCTCTCATCTGCAAAATGAGGATAAATGACATACATCTTTTTAGGTATTATGGTTCATATTGCAAATGGCATTAAAGTTTTAAATTCATTTAAACCTAGATAATCGATTCAATTGACGTAAAGCCCTCAGAAAAGTTATCCTTAATATTCAGTTTATTTACTCATCTAGACTGACTGGGGCAATGCATAAGGGAGTCAGTTTTAGGCCTTAGGAATTTTTATCTTTATATTTGGGGCAAATTCCTCCATCTTTCTGGAGTCTCAAAGGTTCAGTGTCCTTGCCTCCCACAGTAAATTGGGAACAAATCATTTCAAAGGAAGAAAATCAATGCCCAGTGAATTATATGAGCTGGTCTAGTCCAGCAAGAAGCAAGAATTGCTTAGAATCACAATTTAAAGGCAGCTTGGGGACAGCTGGGCCATGTCACACTCAGGGCAGAATTTCTGTCATCTCAGCTGCCCCTGCTAAAATACTTGCCGAGATGTGGCACCCTGGGTCACGGGGCCTGGACTGTGAGGAAGGGTGTGGGAGGGTGATGGGGCCACCTGAAACCAACAGGTGAGCACAGGGGCATCCAGGGAGCCAGTCTGGTGGACTCCTGCCAATGGGCAATGTGACCCTAGGCTTGCAAATCATTTTTTTCCCCAAAAAAACATTAGAAATCTGGATTTGTGTGTGAGATCTCCCACATTTTTAATGTTGGCCCAAATTTATACAATATTGTAAGAGTCAAAGAAACAGCCTCTGCTGCTAGATTAGACTCACCTGCCGCCATTTTCACCCTCTGTCCTGGAGGTGACGGGCACTGGCTCTGAACTTAGAAGACTTGGGTTCAGATCCCACATCTGGCACTTTCTGGCCAATTACTTATCATTCCCTGCTTCAATTTTCTCCTTTGTAAAGTAGGATTTATCAAAGTCTTACCTCATAAAAGTTCCTGTAAGACTGAAAAAATACTATGAAATATGGACTAAAAAGAGCTTAGCACAGTGGCTGGCACACAGAAGGTGCTTAACAAATACCAATTCTTATCATTATGATTATTGCTTAATAAGTTGTTTCACTCTCTCAGACTGGACACCAGTAAGTCTGTCTCATTAGGTGTATGTATATAAGAATCAGGTTGTCCCTGAGGCTTGATGAGTCACTACTTATAAAGCCTTAGTATATCCCTGAAATACAGTGAGTGCTCGGTCAGTGCTGGTTGTCGAGACTATCATTTACCACGTGGCTGATTCCTGGTAGTCCTCAGGAAAGAGCGACATTTTGCTCTGCCTGCTACTCACATGTCAGGCAGACCATGGCAAAGCGGATGGACAAGTCCACAGGCACTGCCCAGCGCTTTGACACCTGGGAGACGGCGAAGGGGATGATGATTTTCGCAGGGACGTAAAACAGCAGGGCATAGGTACACATGATGCCAAAGATGTAGAGGAGCTTGACCGACTGGTACAGCCTGCAGGACAAACCAGAGAGGTGCTCTCTAAGGCCACTGGGCTCTGACACCCAGGCCCCTTGGGACATTTACCTCTGACCTTTGGGACAGCCCCTTGGGCTGCAGTTTTCTTGTCTGCAAGTGATGAGGAGGGGCCTTCTAAGAGCCAAGAGGGAATCACGGCAGACACACAGTGAAAACAGGTTAAGGGTCATGGACTTGAATGGAAGCAGTTCAGAGGGCCATCTCTAAATAAAAAGAATCTTGATCCTGGGTATATAAAATACCTTGCAAAGGCGCTCAATTTTAGATTTTAGGAAAGAGAACCTCAGGCCAGGTACCTTGCCCAGGGAGAAAGAAGTGATAAGTAGCAAAGACCAAAAAACTTGGGTCTGAAAGACTCTGGCCCCTTGTGACCTCTGTCTGTTCTTGGAAATTCTCTGGATCCTCCTAAACTCAACAAATGCATACAGTAGGCTGGGAGAAATGCAGAATCCTGAATCCTTGGGGGAAGACAGTCTACGTACAGGGTTATATGGAGTCAGGAAGGAACAAGAGAGGCAGGTCTTAGACTAGGGGCAGAAAGAGCATGTGATGGGGCATGTTGAGTCTTATCAAAGCCTTTTTTGACCTATGGAGTATGACTCCTTTCCTTTAGTCCATTAATGTAGTACATGCGTCTCCCATGTCTAACGAGCCTGTGTGTATATCTATATTTAAGCCATTCCTTAAGAAGACTAACTTCCACATTTCTGTGCTTCTTGCTAGCCCTACTGCCTGGAACACCACTGAACTCCATTTCCATTTGTTCAAACCCCACCAAAGTGGTGTAATTCCTTTCTTTTGAGAAGGTATCAGATGATTTTAGATATGCCCAACTTAATCTTCATGACAACTCTGCTTTACAGATGAGGAAACTGAGGGTTAGAGAGGTTAAATTAAATAATCCATGATCACCAGATAGGAGGCAGTGCAACTGGGACTTGGATGTACGAGTGCCAGTGTTGTCCTTATCTGGACAGAATTGTCTTTCTGGATGATGAGATTCCTCGTTGTCTCATTCCAATGCACTTTCTTTTCTCAGAAGTCCCCAAGGTCTCTTTGCTACTCTGGAGGGCTCCTTTTTCTCTTCTGTACTTGTGTATATACACTATCTATCCCTCCTCCATTCCCACCGATCACAAGCTGGGGAAGGAGTGAAGCTGAAGGTCATCATCTATTCACATCAGTGCCCTCTAACCCCTGTGTCTCGACTGGCATCTGCATATAATTGGCATGTAATAAATGCTTGATGAATGCCATTTATCAAATTGGGAAAGGGGCACCATTTAGGCAATTAAGACCCCAAGTGACCCTTAAAAAAAATAGGCATCCTGTGACATGCCTCAGTGTGGGAAAAAATGCTGCACAATGTAGTATGGGCTCGTGTCTACTTAAATGTAGCACTGTTGAAGTCTGAGTCAGCTGTTATGTGAATTGGATGCATTTGAACATAAAACCTTTCAGTGGTCTCCCCAGATTAGTTCTTGTTTTACTATTTTTTAATCCCAGCTACCCGGACTTGGGAGATATGCACCATCATCTGTGGCATGAAAGACTGGGTAACACAGCCTTAGTATATGTACTTGGAAGTGAGTGTGGCCATACCCTGACTCCTATCTCTGGAGCCCCACCCTTCCCTTCTCAGGTGACCACGGACTCTCACTTCTTCCCTCTATTCCTAAATCATATCTGTCTTCGTACTAGGCTATCAAGGCCTCACTCAACATGAAGGGCTGTTGTTGAAGGAGAAGCTTCCTGGACAGAGAATCCAGAACCTGGGGTTTCCCGTGGAGGCCATCGAGACCTCAGGGCGCTGTGTGTGGAAGGGGGGAGGAAAAGACTTGTGTGTCCCTGCAGAGCTGAGCTCCCCCCCACCTGAGGGTATGTGATATTACCAGCAGTTGGGCAGGTTAAGGGTTATGCTGGCCTTAATGCCACTTCCAAACCGCAGGTAGCCTAGAGTCCCGATGCAGACATACAGGGCAGTGACAATGGACATTCCCAAGGACAGGATGGCTGGGAAGCGGCGGGAATCCTTCATCTTGTTCTCCAGCGGCAGAATCTACAAAGACGTCACAGTGTACAAAGGAAGAAGAAGAACGAGGACCGTGAATATGAAAGCATCCGCTTGTGAGTATGCACCCAAAAGAACTGGAACAGGAACTTGAGCAGATATTTGTACAACTATGTCCAGAGCATTATTCACAATAGCCAAAAGGTGGAAGCAACTTAAGTGTCCATTGATGGATAAATGGATAAACAAAATGCAGTCTATACAAACAATGGAGTGCTACTCAGCCTTAAAAATGAAAGGACATTCTGACACATGCCACCACATGGATGAACCTTGAGGACATCATGCTGAGTGAAATTAGCCAGTCACAAAATGAGAGAGAATGCATGATTCCATTTACATGAAGTACTTGGGGTGGTCAAATTCATAGACTCCGAAAATAGAATGAGGCTTCCAGGGGCTGTGGTAGAGGGGAATGGGGTGTTATTGTTTAATAAATATGGTTTCAGTTTTGCAAGATGAAAAAGTTCTGGAGATGGACGGTGGTGATACTTTCACAATAATGTGAATGTCACTGAATTGTATACTTAAAAATGTTTAAGATGGTAAATTTTATGTTAGGTATATTTTACCACAATTATCAGAAAAAAGGAAGGAAGCCCTGGAGTCACAATATGAGCCATGGACAGTTTGGAGCTGGAAGGGCCTCTCAGGGTGTCCCAGCCAAGAAGCTCAGCCCCCGGGGTAGCCCAAGCCGGCCAGGGGACACGCTGTGTCTGGCCAGCAGAGTCTTGTCGGCCACTGCCTTCCTCCATTAGTGAGGCCCACTTTGCCCGCATGCTGACATGTATCCGGGCTCTTCGTCCACACTGCCTTCCAAAGGCTTTTGAGTTTGGGACTTGTAGTTTCAGTGCACTCAACCCTCTCTGTACAGATGCAGAGGTGGAGACTCACATCCCAGTGAACTGGTGACAGAGGGCCTCCTGGTTTCCCACCACACATGTCCCCACATGCTGTGTTCTCAGGACCCTTCTCCAGAGGCATAACTGGCTCTAGGAACGTCCAGGTTGACAGCAGCCTGCCTCCTGAGCCTGCTGGGTACCAAGGTCATGTCTGTCTTTGGAACCAATCCTCTGGCTCTCACTCCACACATTTATTTCATCCTCAGACTTCTACCAGCTAAGAGCCCACCCCCACCCCTCCCTCTCCTCCGTGATCAGGCCATGGGCTAAGCACACTTTAAACACATCATTAGGCTGATTTGCCTCTCAGTTTCCTCACCTGAAAACTCACTTTTGGAATTTTTTTGAGAATTACATGGGGACCATATGGCACATAGCAAGGGCTTAGTAACTATTAGCTGTTATAATTTTTTATACTGTGCAGATCACAACTCCACGGAGTTGGGACTTAGGTAATTCTTACTTTACAGATGAGGAAAACAAGGCTCTGAAGATGAAGAAACCTGCCTCAAGGAAGTGGGGCACCGCTAGGCTGTGGACTAGGGCTGTCCTCCGAGTCCAGGTATACTTCTTCCATGCAGGCTTGCCTGATCTCTGACAGCACTGGGCATGTTCATCACTCAGTAGGAACTTAGCATCTGTTCCCTCGAACTCTTAACTCCTGTTTTGTCCTACATGCATCTGTCCCCATGCAAATGGAAAACACTTCAAGCGGGTGCCGCATCAGGGTCACCGCTGTGCCTCTCTGCTTTCTTCTGCGTTAGGGGCAGGTTTCTGGTTGTAGCTGTTGCTCAGGAAAATGTCTAGGGGATTATGTGGAGAGCAGACAGTCGGACCTGAGTTTTCCCACACTGCAGTACATTTCTGCTGTGTAAATTCCCCAGGTGAAAAATGTTTCAGAAGGCTTGATCATACTCAGTAGTTGGTGTTCTCTCTCTCTCTTCCTCAACAATCAAAGAGATAAATGGCTGTTCACATAAAGTGGGAAGGTCCCTGGACTGGGAGTGAGGAGCAACTTGGTTTTAGCCATAGCTGAAGCCGTTCACAGCTGGTGGCCTGGCTCAAGCCCTTTTCCCTTTTTGGAGCTTAGGCTCTGCTTCTGCAAAATTGGAGACTGGCCTAAAAGATTTCTAATGGTGATTTGAATTCAGACACTAATAACCATTAGCACATAGTAGGTGTTCAATAAATATTGAACACATATTACCATCATTTAGTTGGGGAATTAGGGTTCAAAGCGTAGTCCATGGCCAAAGTAAGATTCCAGAACATTCCACCTCCAAATTTATTTGCTCAACCACTGCACTTTTTGCCATGACTGTCCAAAATTCTAAATATAAAGTGCTTCCTGTTCTATTAAGATGGTGTAAGTACACTCTACCATGTCTCCCTCACTGATAAATACTAAAAGCCTTGGGAAGAATACAGAAGCAACTATCCATGGACTCTCAGAAGTATGTAATAGTGGGTGGATTGACCAAAACTAGTAAAAATGGCCATTATGACAGTAAGTTTCCAGATTTTTTTCCTTCCTGTATCCCCCAGTTTAGACACACAGGGACCCTGAGTACTAGAAAGATGCAGACAGAGATAACTCTAAGAGAAACCCTCTTTCTGGCCAGAGGACATGAATAGGTGGCCCTGTGGGACAGAGCATGGAAATAATCCCTATGTTTTTGTTTCTTTTTATGCCCTCAAGGCCACACACTAAAACATGTCCTAGCAGAGCAGCATTCTGGTGTATCAGTGACTGTGACAGTCACATAGGCACCTAAAAGTCTGAGCCAAGCTCATCTCTAAGCAAGGAACTAGGAAAAGGGGCCTTGGGAGCCAATGAACGTGGGGGGAAATCAGCTCTGGTATATTAATTGTAGGGTCTAGAGCAAAATGCAAATGCAGGGCTTCTTGGTCAAAAATCAAAAATTTCAAGATGATGAAAGCAGAGCATTAAACTACAAGTGGGATCCTTCCACACAGGTTGCATGTCTGTGAAGTTGGCCATGGGAGGAATCCTTATTATCTATTTATCTTTCTTCCCTCTTTTCTTTCAGTGCTTAATTCCTGAGCCAGACGCAGTCACAGAAAGTGCATACGAGTGTAGGGAGCTTAAAACCCTGGTTTTCCAGACACAGGACCAGAAAAAGGAGCTAATGGGAGCTGGTGAGTATGCAAGAAAACATGGAAAGGATGGAGCTGAAGAAAGTGATCCCCTAAATCTGTGAGTGAAGTCCTGGGCTCAGTCCTGGGTTGCACATGGTAGAATTGATGTGTAGCCATCAAAACAGAGGCTTTGAAAACTGAACTATTGCGTAGACCACCATCTATATCTCAGCCGGCTGCTGGGGGGGCACAGGCATGGTGGAGACAGGTATCACTGCGAAGGCTTTGAAAACTCATCTGATACTGGCACCATGGCCCATGAAGGTGGATCAGAACCTGTGGTCTGAATCAAACCAGACTGACTGTGTGCTAAAATAAAAAAATCAACATTCTCCAGAGGATTTTAACAGGCTCCAAAATCTCAAAAATAATATTCAAATATATAATATACAATCTAAAATTACTCAACATACAAAGAACTGGGAAAATTTCAACAAGTTGTAAGGAAAAAGACAACAGATGCCAATCCTAAGATGATTCATATGTTGGAAATATAAGACAAAGACCTTAAAGCAGCTATTAACAACCATCCCCCATGAAGAAAGGGAGAACAGTATTGAAATAAATGGACAGATCTAAGTTCTTGGCTAAGAAGTAGAAGTTATATAGAGGACCCAAAAGAAAATTTTAGAACTGAAAAATCTCACTGGAGGGGCCCAACATAAATGACAGAACGTGGTCTGTGAACTTGAAAATTGATCACTAGGAGTTATTGAATCTGAACATAAAAGGAGAAAAATGATTTTTAAAATGAAGAGAGCTTCAAAAACCTGTGGGATGTGTATCAAAAGGTCTAACATTTGGATCATTGGAGTCCCAGAATGAGAATAAAAAGAGATTGATGAAGAAAAAAAGTTTTGAAAAAAATAATGGCTGAAAACCTTCTAAATTGGTTATAACTCATACATCTACAGATTCAAGAAATTCAGTGAATTTCAAACAGGACAAACTCAAAGAAAACTATATCAGATTTACAATATAACTCTATTACTACAGTAGATGTGCTAAAAACCAGTGTTAAAAAAAAAGACTCTTGGAAGTAACAGATAAAAATAATATATCACCATATAGGGAAACAATGATTCAAATAATTGCAGATTTCTTATTAGAACAACTGAGGGCAAAAGGATGGGAAACCATATTTTGGAAATGCTGAAAAAAAGGAAGAACTGCCAACGTAGACTTCTATATTGTACAAAAATACACCCCATTAATAAAGGCAAAAGAAAGACATTCTGAAATGAAGAAAATGAAGAGAATATGTCAGCAGCAGATGCTAACTAGGGTTCTTCATGCTGAAGAAGGAAACTTGTGAATTCAAGAATAAAGAAAGAGCAAAAAAAGCAGTAATTATCTGGGTAGATAAAATGGACTATTTTTCTTCTTGTAACTTTGTTACAAGTTGTTGTAAGTGAGGGTTATGTATGATTATTGATGGCCAAGATTATGACATAGTCTGAGGGTGTTTTAAATGTGTTTAGATGTAATGTATATAGAAAACACAACATAAAAGAGGGGAGAGTAAAGGGACCTATGTGACTGTTTACTAGAAATGATAAAATACTAACTCTATGAAAAGTTATATATGTTTATCATAATCTCTAGAGCAACCACTGAAAGTATTATAGAAAAAGATACAGTGAAAAATTAAACAGGAAAATTAAAGTGGAATACTAAAAGTATTTAAACAATCTAAAAGAATGCAAGGTGTAAAACAAAACATTATTAATCACAGACCTATTAACCATGTAATTATGTAACTGCAAGGGGTTTAACTACACCAATTAAAAGACACAGATAGTCAGATTGGATTAAAAAAACAAGACTTAATTATATTCTCTCTGTAAGAAATCCACTTTAAAATAGATTAAAAGGATGTTTATCTTAAGAAAAGAAAACTGTGACCTATACTGTTTATGAATACAGATGCAAAATTACTTAACCAAATACTACCAAACTGAATCTAGCAGCACATTAAAATGATTATGTACCATTACCAAGTGGGATTTATCCCATGAATACAAAGGTGGTTCATTATGATATGAAATCATTTCATAATTGATATGAAATCAGTTAATTGAACATCATATTAATAAACTGAAGGGGAGAAAAAAATCTACATCATCACTTCAATTGTTGCAGAAGAAGCATTTTACAAAATCCAACATTCTTTCATGATGAAGATACTCGGCAAACAAGGAACAGAAGGGAACTTCCTCAACCCAATAAAGGGCATCTATGAAAAATCCACAGTAAATATCATATTTAATGGTGAAAGACTGAAACTTTCCCCTAAGATCAGGAATAAGACAAAGATGTGGATTTTCACCACTTGTGTTCAACACTGTACTGTAAGTTCTATCCAGGGTAATGAGACAAGACACAACAGACATCCACATTAACACACATGTCTGCACACACACAAGTACTGGAGTTGCTAAACAGATTCAGCAAGTTGCATGATAGAAGACCAACATACAGAAATCAGTAGTGCTGAGCTAGTAATGAACAATCTGAAGAAGAAATTTATTAAAATTCCATTTGCAACAGCACCAAAAAGAACAAAATACTTAGGAATAAATTTAACCAAAGAGATGCAAGACTTGTACATTGAAAACTACAAAACATTGTTTAAGGGATTAAGGGAGGACCTAAATAAATGGAAAGTCATCCCATGTTTGTGGATTGGAAGACTCAATAATGTTAAGATAACAATATTCCTCAAATTCATCTATAGATTCAATGAAATCTCTATCAAAATTCCAACTGCCTTTCTGGCAGCAATGGACAAGCTGATCCTAAAATTCATATGGAATCGGAAAGGACCCCAAATACCCAAACTTGAAAATGAACAAAGTTAGGAGACAATATTCATTAAGATAGTGACCCAGCAATCTCACTCTTATGTATATACCCCAAAGAATCAAAATCAGGATGTTCAAACAAAACTTATACGTGAGTTCTAACAGTAATATTATTTACAATAGCCAAAAGGTGGAAACAACCCAAGTGTCCATCAGCTGATGAGTGGATAAACAAAATGTTGTATAGGCAGACAATGGAAGATTATTGAGTCACATTAAAGTATTAAATATGGATACTGATTATAACATGGATGAACCCTGAAAGCATTATGCTCTATGAAAGAATCCAGACACAACAGACCATATATTGTATGAGTCCATCTACGTGAAATGTCTAGAATAGGTAAATCCATAGAAACAAAAAGCAGGTCGTGGCTGCCAGGGGCTGGAAACATGAGGAATGGAGTAACTACTTGATGGGCATAGTGTCTCTTTTAGGGGTGATGAATGCTTTTTGGAATCAGATAGTGGTGATGTATGCAAGATGTTATGAATGTTACAGGTATTGCATTGTATACTTTGGCTAAAATGGTGAATTTCTCAATAGAAAAAAGGATGGTAAAAGATATCACACAAATACTAATAAAAAAAGAGCTCTTTCTACATCATGCTAAAAAGCTTCTGTACAGCAAAGGACACTATCAGCAGAACAAAAAGGCATCCTACAGCATGGGAGAATATATTTGTAAATGACATATCTGACAAAGGGTTAACATCCAAAATATATAAAGAACTCACATGCCTCAACACTCAAAAAGCAAATAACCCTATTAAAAAATGGGCAGAGGATATGAATAGACAATTCTCCAAAGAAGAAATTCAGATGGCCAACAGGCACATGAAAAGATGTTCCACATCGCTGATTATTGGGGAAATGCAAATTAAAACCACATGAGATATCACCTCACGCCTGTTAGGATGCCCAACATAGAAAAGAATAGGAACAGCAAATGCTGGCGAGGATGTGGAGAAAGGGGAATCCTCTTACACTGCTGGTGGGAATGTAAACTAATTCAACCATTGTGGAAAGCAGTATGGAGGTTCCTCAAAATAAAAATAGAAATACCATTTGACCCAGGAATTCCACTCCTAGGAATTTATCCTAAGAATGCAGGAGCCCAGTCTCAAAAAGACATATCCACCCCTATGTTAATCACAGCACTATTTACAATAGCCAAGAAATGGAAGCAACCTAAGTGTCCATCAGTAGATGAATGGATAAAGAAGATATGGTACATATACACAATGGAGTATTATTCAGCTCTAAGAAGAAAACAAATCCTACCATTTGCAACAACATGGATGGAGCTAGAGGGTATTATGCTCAGTGAAATAAGCCAAGCAGAGAAAGACGAGTACCAAATGATTTCACTCATCGGAGGAGCATAAGAACAAAGCAAAAACTGAAGGAACAAAAAGAACAAAACAGCAGCAGACTCACAGAACTCAAGAATGGACTAACAGTTGCCAAAGGGAAAGGGACTGGGGGTGGTGGGTAGNGGGGTGCATGGGGAAGTCAGTATAGCACAGAGAAGACAAGTAGTGACTCTATACAACCTTACTATGCTGATGTACAATGGCTGTAATGGGGTATGTGGTGGGGACTTGATAATGAGGGGGAAATCTAGTAACCACAATGTTGCTTATGTAATTGTATATTAATGATACCAAAATTAAAAAAAAAGAGTTCTCACACTACCTGATTTTAAGATTGTATTAAATACAGTTTGGTATTTATGAAATGGCATACACACTGATCAATCAGTATAGGAAATCAATAAATTGACCCATATGCATATATCAATTAGCTTTTTACAAAGATGCAAAGGTAAGTCAATGGAGAATGGATAGTCTTCAACAAGTGATGCTGGAACAACTGGGCATTGTCTAAAAAAGTGAACTTCGACCTATAAACACCTTTAAAGTTAACTCAGAATGGATCATAGATCTAAATGTACAATGAAAACTATAAAACATTTAGAAGAAAGCATAGGAAAAAATCTTTGTGACCTTGGATTAGGCAAAGTGCTTTCAGATAAAACAAAAGCAGGACCCATAAAACTAAAATTTTGATATACTGAACTTTATCACAATTAAATCTTTTGCTCTGTGAAAGACTGTTAAGAAAATGAAAAAGATGAGCTGCAAACTCAAGAAGGTATTTGTAAGTTATATGTCCAGTAAATGACTTGCATTTGGAATATATAAAGAATTCTTAAAACTCAACAATAAGAAGACAACCAGTATTTTTTTTAACTTGCAAAAGATTTGAACAGACAATTCACAGAAGGGGATATACAGATGTCAGATAAGCCCATAAAAAGATTCTCAGACTCGTTAGTCATTAGTAAAATGCAAATTAAATCAAATACTAGTATATACCTATTAAAATGGCTGAAATAAAAAAATATTGACAGTACATATAAGAACTAGCAATATGCAGAGCAACTGGAATGTTCATACAGTCTTGTGGGGATGCAAATGGTACTGCCATTCTAAAAACCTGTTTGACAATTTCTTATAAAGTTAAACCTACATTAATATGTAACCTAACAAACCTACTCCTAGAGAAATGAAAACTTACATTCACACAAAAAAACCTGCACACAAATGTTTATAGCAGCATTATTCATAATTGTCCCAAACTAGAAACAACCTAAATGTCCTCCAGCAGGTGAATTGATAAAGAAATTGTGGTATTGCCTATACACTGGATGCTCAGTGATAGCAGTGAGTGGTGGATGCGTGCAACAGCATGGATGATCTTAAACACAAATAAGTGAAAGAAGTCAGTCTCAAAAGTATGTAACTATCACACAGTTACACACTGTATGATCCCATGTATATGGCATTCTGGAAAAGATAAAACGACAGAGAACAGAAGGTGGTTGCCAGGGGTTAGTAGTGGGGAGGAAGTTGACTATAAAGGGGACAACACGAGGGGGTTTTTGTGGTGAGGAAATTGTTCTGTGTCTTGATTGTGGCACATCTATGACTTTACACATTTCTCAAAACTTCCAGAAATGTATACCAAAAAAGGAACTGTACTGAGTGTAAATGAAAGGCAAAGTTAAAAATTATATATACAGCACTCTTTCCTCAAGTGTGGAAGTAGAGACTATGTAATAATCCATTGCAAATATACAGTACTTTTCAGTTTAAAATTCCTTTACACTCCATCAAATCCTGTAATTTAAACTGTACAACTCCATTTCTCTTGATTTTAAAAGATTAGAAGACACATGTTGATATGAAGATAAATGTTTAACGGATGTATTGGGACAAGAATTTAACTCTGTCTCCTGACTGCTTCTCTGTTGTAATCGACTTTTCTCATGCTAATGACAACTGACCCAGGTGAGGCCAGGGGTTACTTTTTTCCCTGTACACACAGAAACCCAAAAACCCAGAGCTCTTATTCAGAAGTCCATCCAGCACCCAGAGAAAGTCTACCCCAATCCAAACCTTACCATGCCAATACTTTCAAATGAAGAAACAGCTGTTCCGAAGAAGAGAGGGTAGGTCTTCCAACTTGCTACCAGAGGTAACTGGTTGGGGTCTGGAATTCCCTACAGGAGAGAAAAAGGCAGTTAGACATTTACTCCCAAAGCATGTTTGGACTCCTTTAAGAGGGGGCTATTCTGAGAGTAGACCTAAATTTTAAACAATTGAATGTCAAGAAAAGCAGAAAACTTCAAAAGTAGGTAACAGAGGTGATTTTAAGATGGCACAACATCAGAGCCAGAGGAAAGAAACATAAAGGTCCTGACAAAGTATTGAAGGATTAGTATCTCAAGGAGGGGTTTGGTTTATTAGAATCCAAAATGTTACCTACCTTTGAAGTTTTCTGCACACCACAGGTTAGTACCAGGATAAACTGCCCAAGGATACTTTGAATGTACCAGTGGTTATGGGTGTTGGAAATTATGGTGACTGTAGTTACAGTATTCTAGGGGCCTCAAAGGAATTAGTAAAATATGAAAGTTGCTTTTTCTTCTTCAATGAGCTATAAATTGAAGGGGAGGAAAGTATGTGGAATAAATATTTCACATACCCTATGACCTAGATTGGGAACATAATTATAGAACCATTTCTCTAGTAAGGCAACCTCTGGAATAGTCCAAAAGTTAATCAGAGATAGCTATCTTATTAGGAAATTAAATTTTTTAGAATTTACCAATATCGCCTTAAGAAATATGTTTTATCTATAATTTATCCTAAAATATTTGACTAATTTGTTATTTTTACAAAATTCTATGGACAATAAAGCTTTTTTTTCTTGTGACTTCTGAAAGAGAAAAACATTCGAAAGGTATTAGGTATGCCAAGGGATTTCTGGGGTTTGAATTTCTATGTAGTCTTGCCCATTATAAAATTAAAATTAGAAAGAATAGAAAAGTAGGAAATTGAGGGAAAATCAGTATCTATAACTCAACCTCAAAGATGTTGTAATTAACCTTGTGATATATTTGCTTTTGGACTTCTGAGACTCTCTATTTATACCTCTGTGACAAATTTTAGGTTTTCTTTTTTTCCTCTTGAGTTCCCTAGGGGTAATTCTGGGTGCCTGGAATTGTAGCTTAGAGGATGTAAGACTGTGGGTAATTTGATCATTTTCAGCTGTGGTAGAGGATCCTGCTTGTCATCTGCATTTTGTTCCTCTCCAACCATTACAGGAATAGTCTATAGTTCACCAACCAAAATGTTTTCCATACCAAGCATAATATGTTTTTAAAGCCTGGATAGACTAAAAGTGAGTACTGGAGGATCAACAGAAAAGAAGAGATATCCTGAAGAATGAGATTGCACAGAGATACCTTTGTGGAAGAAAACTGCAATGAGGTCAGTTCTAGGCTGAAGAGTGAGGTGTGTACCTGCCCTAGAGTCTGCCCTAGGGGTCAGTGCATTGTGATAAAAGACTCTGGCCAGTGCAGGGGTGGATGTGTGGCGTGCACCAACCTGGGTGATGTACTGGGTGATGATGACCAGGCTCACCACCATGCTGACGTTGGCCAACATGGAGAAGACGGTCAGGATCCTGAGGTTCTGGATGAGGACCAGCAGCATCAGGATGGGCGTGAAGGCAACCATGTAGAGTCGAGAGTCCATGGTGGGTGTCAGAAGCACTGTGTCATTGTAGTGGCAGTTGTTGGTTGTGCTATTAACTGCTTCCACTACCTGAGGAAGGAATAGGAAAGCAAGGGGAAGACTTGATGAATCACCTGGCCATGCAGTCAGCTTAGTGCTTGGCTCATCACCTCCCTCACAGAGAGCTAGGATGGCTCACATGCCAGAATCTCACAGTGAGTTAGGCTGTTTGTGTTACTTATAACCCAAAAACCCATATACACATTTTCATAATTGGGCCAATTGCACCATACCAATATTGGCATTTTGAGTGAGAGAACTCATCTTTGTGAGGACTGGACTATTCATTGCAGGACATTTGGCATCCCTGGACCCCACCCAATAAATGCTATTAGCATTCCCCCAACCATTGAGGCAGATGAGAAACACCCCCTGGCAAAGCTGAGGGATGGGGAAGGATGATACCACCCGCATTAGAACCGGCATTACTTAATGAAATCCTATTGAGCAAGCAATACAGTGTACTACAGAACAGTTAGAAATGAGTTACGCAAGAAGAGCATGTCAAAGAAATAATAATCTCAGTATCCTTGGATAGCTATGGGAATGCCCTGGATTATATTCACCTGTGCATTTTGTATACAATATCACAAATTACGAGTATTATATGCATTCTTTTTTTAACAGATTGCAATCATAGCCTACAGTCTTATTTCAAAATCTTTTTATTTAATAACACACTTGGATACTTAAATGAATCACTAATTCTTATTATTTTCTAATTCCTCATTATGGTAGGAAAAATACTTGGAACATGAGCTGGGCATTCAAAGTCCTCCACAATGGGTCCCATCCAACTGTGAAGATTCTTCCTGTCCCAAGGCCCAGTCGCACGAGAAATCCCATTGTACTGCCTCTCCTGAGCAAGTCCCCACATTCCTGCTCCAAGCGTTCGCTCCTTCCTTCTCCCACCTTGGCCGCAGTCCTCCTCCTCCAAGCTGCCCTTCAACGCCCAGCTCAGATGTAGCTCCTCGAGGAAGTCTTCCCTTGTTCCAACTATTTTTCATGCCCCCGCACATATCTGCCCCTAAATTCACAATTAAGCACCCCTGACCTCAGGGTATGGTTGGTGGAATCCTGACCTGGCACCAAAACACACTGATAATTAACTTTTTATATGTTTTAGGACACATCTCATTCAGCCTGCAAACTTCTCGAGACGATGCTTGCCTTATCTCCATAGGATGACGAAGTTCTGATGATACCAGATTGATTTCCAAGCAGGAATCTGGCAATGTGTTTGGAAAGCCTTCAAAATAATCAAACTCTTTGACTCAGTAATTTTACTTTAAGATATATATACTAAGGAAATAAAGGAGTACACAAATATTTAGATTTCAATAGAAAGGCCAAAGAAAACAAAGAAAATATCCAATAATATTGACTTAGTCATGGTTTGTCTGTGGAATGGAGTATTATGGAGCCATTAAAAATTACATTAAAAAATGTAAGGATATTGCAAAATGCTAACCAGTTCATACTAAGTTAAAACATTAACTATGAGTGGTTGGATTAACAATAGTTTTTTGTTTTGAGAAGCAATATAGCATATTATTTAAGAACTTGAGCTCTGATACCAAAAGGCTTACATTCTTAACCTTGGCTCTTGACTTATATACATTATAGAGTTTATAGCATCATTTTTCTCCTCTGTAAAATGAGCATAACCACAGTATGTACTCTGATGAGGTCCTGGAGAGAATTAAATGAGGGAAAGTATATAAAATGCTCAGCACTGCACCTGACACAAAATAGAAACTAAATCTGAATGCTTACTATTTTTTCCTTCTTTCTAATTATTCTACATTTCCAAATTTCTGGTATTACTATAAGCAGAGAAAGAAAAAGAGCCCTAAAGAATCGCTATCTTTTTTAGCTTATTGACTAAGAATGGTCTCTGTTATTGACCACATCATTTTGTTCAAATTGCTACAAGATAACTTCTGGGTTAGATAAAAAGAACTTTCTGGGGACAACTGTTAAACCACAGAAATTAAGCAGTGAAAGACAGAGAAAATAGTCCAAAGAAGATTCAGTATCATCACCCATATCAGTTTTAAAAGAGTTAAAGGCGATTAAACTCCAAGCCAGGAGGCTCAACAAAAATCCGTTTCCTTCTAGCTCCAGTTTAGAGAACAGTCCTGAGGACAGACAGGCCCAAGACCCTGGACAAAGGGTGCTGTGGGAAAGGGGCCACTCAGAGGGACCTGCAGTTATGTGAGCTAGAGGAGGTCTGTGTTCTTTGACAAAATCTAGCTTGACTTCCTTGGTTGTTTGCTAAAGACACTGCAACCCAAAGAGAAGAAACTATTTGTTGAGCAACTAGCAGATGACCCTTCTTTTTCCATGTCTTTTCCTCCACCTTATCTAGAAGACCTTACCTGTTTTAAATTGTCAGCCAGAAACACAATGTATACACAGCAGAAGCCCAGCTGGGTGACTATAAGGAAGAAGCTTACAATATGCCTGGAAGAGAGGGAAGAGAGAGAGAAAGAAAACTTGTTATACAAGAAGAGTTGGCTTGTCATTGCCATTTCTGTTCCCAGGGGGAGGTCCCCTGTATCACTACCCTTGGTCTTGCCACCACAATTAACAATGGGGCAGTAAAAGGTGAGGTGACAACAGTTCTTTTAAAAATAATGTTTCTCAAACACCCTTATACTCTCAGGTCAGCACGTGGTGAAATTCTTCAGGAAGTCAGGAACATCCCCCTTGTACCTCACTCTGTGGCATTCTTTGTAATTGATGTAGGGCAGTAGGCACGATGTTTTTATTAGCTATTATTAACATTAAACTTTTTTTCAACCATGTGCAAGATACCATATTAGGCTCTGAGGACACACAGACAAATAAAACATGGTCCCGTCTTCTAGTGCTTTACAGACTAGTGGGAGAGATGGGCAAAAAATAACATGGCACCAATGGCCATGGTAAAAAGAGCAATTTACCCAAATTATAGAGCATACAGCTTTCTTAGAAAAAAACAATACCTGAGTAGGAGTCCCTTGGGAAGGAGAAGAAAGAGAGAGAAAGGAAGAGGAGAAAATGGAGAGGCAGAAGTGAGGGATTAGCAGATTTCTCTAGATGCAATGTGGAGAATCCACTGGAGGGGCAAGACTAAGGACGGGAAGACTGGCTAGGGGATTCTGACTACAATAGCGGTGAGAGATGGCAGCACCCCGGATAAAATGTGGCCATTAGGATGAGACAATTAAAGCATTTTAAGAGATACTAGAGAGAAGTACTTACAGGACCTGGTGACAACTTACATCTGGGGGAAGCAAAAGAAGTGACCTATGGTGATTGACAGATTTCTGGCTTGGACAACAAAATAAACAGGGAAAGTCAGAAAGAAGAAGAGGTCTTTTGGGAAGGGGAAGAAATGACACATTCAGTATCTGAATTGTTGAGCTTGAGGTTCCTACAGGAGACATTCAGGAGACAAGTACACACATGGGTCCAGAACCATTGATTTGTTGGTAATGGACAAAGCCTTGAGAAGGCAGGTCCACGTTGGAGAGTGTGCAGTGGGCAGAGGAGAAGGCAGCATCCTAAACTCTAAAGAACACCTAGGGTTATAGGGAGGATAGGAACAAAAAAGCCTGCACAAAGGTAAAGGAATGACCAGAGACATAGGTGGGATAAAGGGTTAAATAGAAGCCAAGTGAAGGGAGAATGTTTGGCGAATGATTGTACCCACTGCTGCTGAGAGGTTCTCTAGGGCAAAGAAGGTACAACAAGGAGGCATCTTAGGACATTGGTGGAAAGAACTTCAGTAGAAGTATAAGGACAGCAAATCCAGGTGACCCCTGAAAGAGGGGAGAATGGGATGTGTGGAAGTAAAGTCAGGGGGTGGGCTGTTCTTTCATACCGCCAAGTCTTGATGGTGCCATTTGTTCATCACTGTAGACCCATAGCCTAAAGCACTTCCTGACACACTGTAGGTATTCAGTGGGTATCTGCTGAATCACCAGATGCTGAATGTGAGATAGGATGGTGGCTACAGGGTAGTGTAAGGTCTAGGAAGCTTTATTAATTTATTTTTCTATTTTTAAGACGCATTTTAAATGTTCAGAGGAAGAGCCCATAGTTCAAAAAAGAAGTTCAAATTATAGGAGAGAAGATCAGTGAAGCAAGGTTCCCAAATAGAACAGGAAAAGCTACTTTATATAACCAATGATGAATAGAAGGATTTGAGGGATTGTGACAAGCAAAATCCTCTTCTTGGGAGAGTTCTGATTAATATCTCATAGCTTTCCTAGTCTGCTCCTAGGCTGAATTTACTAACTGAGTATGTGAATGGGCTTTGGGCCAAGGGGGTCGCCACACCCATGGTGTTCTGCAGGCTCTATGCTTCGCGGGCAGGGTGCACCTCAGGGCCACTGCAGTGATCTGGCAGGTCACAGTTCAATAGAGACTCTGACAATCTAGATGGTACTGGGTAAAGAGTAGGCAGATGGGGTGAGGACAGGCCTGAAAACAAAAATGAGTAGATTTAGTCCCAAGTACCAGAGGACAGAGGGGGTTTACCTTATTCTGTGTCATCCCTGAAATCTAGAAGGTGGTTGGGACAGGAGGAAGACTTCAGCTCACCAAAGGGTTGGTTCTTAATGGTCTTTCTCTCTGTTTTCTTCTCACTATAAACTTGCTCCCTAAGAGACCCCTGGCTTCATGGCGGATGACTGCAATTCTGTAACTCCTGTATGAAGACAGGTTCAAACCTGTACAGACAATTACCCACTTGGCATCTCCATTTGAATATCTCTTAGGCACCTCAAGCCCAACTTGTCCAGAATAGAAGTCGTTGGAAATCTGAGCCACCCTTGATTCTTTTCCCCACAATCCTGAGATCTAGAAATCATTACCAAATTCACTTTTCTCTATTCCATTGCCACCAGCTTGGTCCCAGCTGTCACTACCAACTGCCTGGACAATGTCAACAGCCCCTCATGGGCTGACTAAATCTATTCTTGCTCCCTTAGAATCTATTCTCTTTACAGAAGCCGGACAGATCTTTAAACAATGCAAATAGCATTTCCTTGATTAAAACCCTCCAATGGCTCCCTGGTTGCTCTTAAGAACAAAACCTTCATGAGGGTCTAAAACATATACCTTGATCAGGACCCTGGACTCTTCATCTTCATCTCCATGACTCTGCCCTCAAGCTGCCTGGTCTTTCTGTGCCTTGAAACTGCCAGGAACTCCTTCCTCCTTTGGGACCTTCACAGCTTGCTTTTCCTTTTTCCTGGAGGGCGGTCCAGGATCCTGACCACTTTCACCTATGCAATTTATCATCTTACGAACTCCTTCCTGCAGAACTCATTTCAGTGATTCCATCCTAGGAGGCCCACCCAAGGCCAGGCACATCTATCTCCTTACCTGCTCTGTTAGCAACTAGAACTTCTTTCCTTCAATGTACTTCATCCCAGTGCTTATTAAGTAACTATGTCCTAAACCGTTTAGTGTCTACCTTTTGTACTATTCTGGACTATTTTGATTCTGTGAGGGCAAAGCCTTGTTTGCCTTGTTCCCCATGATATTTGCAGGGCTCAGTACATAGTAGCAGCTGGAAAACTGTGGTTTAATAACAAAATGAATAATATTAAAGCTGCATAGCAAAGGAATGAGCATGCTGTTGCTGGAGGTATGCAAGGAGGAGGGCTGGATCAGCAAAGTTGCCAATGAACCCCTTCCACGTGGAGAGTCCAAGATTCTGTGCCACATGAGCAAGGATCCCAGGAAGAAGCCACCCCTGACAGCTGCATTTCCTTCTCCTGTATCCACTTCAGGCAAAGCAAGAGCAAGGTACCTTCCCCAGCGGGCATGGTTCTGGAGCCAGACACTGGAGCTGGCTTCTAGTCCGTGCATCATTGTATCCCCATAGTCCATAAAGGGCTTGTTAAGCCTGCAGGAGAAAGTGCATACACAGTTACCAAGAGGCAGCTTAACCTAAAATCACAAGCTGAAAAGTCGAGACACACAGCAAGACAACCCAGCTGGAGCAGAAAGACCACCAGAGCGGAGACCTAAATTCTGGCTCAGACTTGAACACCTGGCAGTATTTCCGCAGTGGCTTGCTTTCCTTCCTTGTCAAGGGGAGCCGTTACTAAATAAAAGGGGTAGTAATATACACGTTGCTTGGCTATAGTAGTTTTCCTTTTCATGATCCCATTGGATCCTCATGAGAATTCGCTAGGGAGGCGAGGCATGTATTGTTTAGGCCCAGTTTACTGATGAGCCAAGCAGATAAGCACAATGACCTGATTAAGATCGTCTAATGAGTCATGCAGCAGAGCCTTGCCTCAGGTCCCTGCCCTCAGTGCTTTTTTCTTTGTCTTGGCCTTGTTGGGGGAAGTTAAGAAGTAAACTATTTTTTAAAAATTTATTTTGATTGAAGTATTGTTGATATACAATCTTATATTGGTTTCAAATGTACAACACGGTGGTTCAACAGTCACCTATATTATTAAATCCTCACCCCCACTAGTGCAGTTACTATCTGTTAACATAGGAAGATGTCACACAATCAGTGGATAGTCTCCATGCTGGACTATGGTCCCCATGACCAACTTTATTATGCTCGGGAAATTTTGTGCCCCTTTATCCCCCTTGCCCTCCCTACCCTCAAGAGGTAAACTCTTATTATGTGTCTGGGATGCCCCTAAGCACCAAGTACCAAAGGAACTGACAAGAGGATGCTGTTTTCCTCACCTGTGGCAGAAGCGCTGGGCACACCTGACCAGGATGTGCATACAGTGGCAGGCGATGAAGCCAATTGCCAGCACACTGAGCGGGCCCATCTGGTGGAACGGAAGAGAGGAGAGAATTGGTTGGTAAAGAACATTGCGGGGGTGGGGTGGGGATTTGCCGGTGCAGATATTATTCAGAACTCAAAGAACTTTCTGGCAAACTCCTTTACAGCAGCAACAGCTACTCTTTCAAACATAATCTCAAGTAGTATTCTAATAAAGTACATTGAACAATTAAAATGGGGCATTGTGGTGGGAGGAGGGGACCCAGAATTCTGCCCCTGGGTGGCCTCTGAGGTATCCCCAAGAACTAGTGCTCTACAGAGCACAAGTGGAAAACCAGTCATAGTCCAGCCTCTGCATTCTACCAAGGGAGTGAATTGACGCCCACAGAGTGGGCAAATGACTTGCCAAGGCCACTCAGATCTGTGGCAGAGCCAGAACTCAAACCCAGGCTAGATGTCTGGACTCCAAATCTGGACCAAGGTGCCTCCCCCAAAGACTGCTCACTGAGAACCACTATGATCCCTGTTGCCCTCCTCTCACGTCCCCTCTACAACCCAGTCGTACTGACTCCTCCTGCAGCTGCTCTTACCAGGATGCCTGCGTTCTTCACAGCCAGGGGTAGTCCCAGGATCCCTGTGCCTATGTTGCTTTTCACCAGGTGAACCAGGGTCTGGAATCCTCTGAAGGAGAGGAAAAAGACACGGGGCTGTGGGTGTGTGAGGGTGAGGAGATCCGGCAGGTATTCCCTCGCAGCATGTCAACACTTAAGTTGGGTAGGTGGACTCCTGGCCATCTCTCAGTGCCAAGGCCTTGCCAGCCCCTCTGGCTCTCCTGTAGGGTGACCAACCATTCATGTTTGCCCAGAACTGTCCTGGTTTTGGCAGGTAACCCTCAACACATACCATAAACCACTTACTATATAAATAGACACTATGCTAAGTACTTTACATGTATTATCTCACTCAGTCCTCTAGTGAAGACTAGAAAGTAGGTTATTGTGTTCATTTTGTAGATGATGAACTGAGGCATAGAGTTATTATTTTTTTTATGAGTTGTACAAGGATATATTGATGACGCAGGATTTGAACCCAGGACTGCTTCAGAGTCCCTGTTCTTCACCCCACTTCTATTGACTGCCTCCTGGAAACATCCCAGACAGATAAGAAAAGGCACAACCCACTTCATAACCAAGAAAACTGAGCCTCAGAGAGGTGGCAGCGCACAGTGCAAGTTCCTAACACTAGTGGCAGAGACAGGACTGAACACAAGCAAAGGGAAAAGGGCGGACAGCGAAGAGAAGTCACCGTGACCTCTGAATGAATAGGCCCGATGCCTCGGGTACCCGGACGGGGCCCGCTGGGAGAGGGTCATTTGGGGACTGGGCTCCAGAGGGATTTCTTTCCCCTCAGATCAGGTCATCAAGCTGTGGGATGCTGTGTCTCCTCCCACGACAACAAAAACAGAAATTCAGACCCTTTACAACAGATGTGGAGGTGGTCCAGGGGACAGGTCCGAACCCTCAGGGGCAAGGTTCCACGGAGGACCCTCTCTGTCGGCGGATTAAAAAACACCAATTTCTATACCTCTCTGTACCTGGACCAGGTTAAACCCAGGTGACTATTAGGTTTATATCCACTACTGTAGAAACCTTAGAAATTCCTGCATGTTAGCCTTCCTGTGAAGAGCAGCAGAGGCTGTGAACGGAGCTTGGTTCCTGAGGTTGGACAAACCAGAAATTAAAACCTAAGGCTACTAGCTTCGATACCCAGAAAATGAACTAAGATACGATATGAGGAGGAGCTTCCGGCATCAGCACTCTCTGGAGGACTCGTGCTGGGGGATGATCATCAAAAAGCCTCCACAGGGATCCGGACGATGCTGCGGTTGTGGCTGCATCCAGCCCACCGTCTCCTGGACTTGCCATAGGAATGAGGAGGGAGATGTCTAGGCTGGCATGTGCATACAGTGAGACAACGAATTTGACCGGATCTGTACTGTTGGAACTCAACCAGGAGTTGGGAGGGGTGCAAG